GTGTGTGTGTGTGTGTGTGTGTGTGTGTGTGTGTGTGTGTGTGTGTGCCTGCAGCTACCAAAATATCTCATGAACCACCGGACGGATGTTAGTGAGGCTAGCTGGAAGTACTCATTGGATCAATTACTGATTAACTTTTGGAGACAACCTGATTGAAGATAGTGGCCACAGCTGACCTTAAACACAAAAATGGCTCTTATTTAGTCATTGTGACAGACGTTGAGCTAAAATCTGATGTAAAGTCATTCTGAATGGGCTAGCTCACATTATCAAATGAGATTGCTCATAATGAAACTCAGGCATGAAAAGTGGTGGGCGATATGCCTTCCTTCATTATTTTATGTCATTTTGTAAAATAATTTAAAAAAATCATTACCGTATTTTTTGGCTTATAAGGCGCATTTAAAATCCTTTAATTTTCTCAAAAATCGACAGTGAGCCTTATAATCCAGTGCGTATTGATTCTGGTTGTAGTTACTGACCTCGAACCATTTTTATGTGGCACAACTGAACAATGTTGAGAGTTATTGTGAACGAGCTGCGTAAAGTTCGACTTATCTGTTTCGCTTAATGCGCCTTATAATCCGATGCGCCTTATAGTCCAAAAATTACGGTAATGTAAAAGTCAGCTAGTCATCATGCAGAGCTTATAAATGGCACTTGACAAAAAGTGTCAACATGCTTTTGTTCTATCGTTTTATGTGTTTAGACAAATATATATTCAGTTAAGACCCTTTATAATGGCACTTATGCTGTTAAATGTGTTATTTTTGTGAATATGTTGCTATGCCAATGGAAATTTATGCTTCAAGTAGTCCCGTGAGGCATCATCTTTTTTTGCAGGCACAAGACGAAAACAGAAGACAAAGAAGGAGCAATTAAACAATTAGTGTCAGTTAAATGAGAGAGCAGTAGCATGGCGATCCATCATCTGCTGGGGAGTGGGAGGATGCTGAAGAGAACCAAAGGTGCAGGAATGATGACGGGAGTGAAGAGTGGCTCTTCATCTCTGTGAGCGGTCCACCATGTGTAGTTTGGGCTCTAAGAGGCATGGTTTATGAATGTGCTCATAACATGGTGGGGAAAACCTGCAGCACTCAGCACGCACCAGTGAATTTTTTATTGTGGGAGAGGGCTGCTGTCATACCTCAGCAGCCTAATTATGTATTTCCAATGGCCAGAGGCAGTTCATTAATAGGCATTCTTTGCAAAGTTATGGAGACTGGCCAAGAAAAAAACAAAATATAAAGTTATAAACGCAATCTGCATTTGTTTTTGTCATATTGATGTCCTTGTTTAAAAAATAAATATATATTTAAGCAAATTTGTGAGGATGCCAATACCACGTGCTTATTTATCAACAACAATGGCCCAATTGAAATGGTGTCAAACATTGTCTGGCACAAGTTTTGTTCTCTATTCTGTCATATTTATTTAATCTACAGAGCCAGTCTTGTGTGACTCGCTTCTATGTTTTTGGTGGATTCAGCCAAGTGCTTTATTTTCATTGAGTGTGAATCTGCATTTCAGAATTGATGTGGAAAATTACAGAGTTAACTTCTTTCAAACTGCACTTGATAATGTTCACCCACTAAAAACCGACAGGTTATGTTGAGTCATTTATTGCAGATAGACTCGGAGCAACTCAAGGGGTAAAAATAAAGACAATTTATTTATTAATAAAACTCAAAACAAAAGCTGACGACGCAGCAAAAACTTACAAAAAAAACAATATTATGGGGAGACATGGCGGAAACAGAGCATACAGGCAGGGAAGCACAATTCACAGACAAGAGACAAAGAAAATGTTGAGATATTTAAAGCGCCACTAACGAGACAATATGGCGAACACTTGTGGTGATTAGGATTGGGAACAGGTACTGAAAAGACTGACAGAGAGAGAGAAATGAGAAATGACAGGAGAAACTAAAACACAAGTAACACAGAAACAGATATAGACAAACTACACAGATAAGACAATAGGCGGGATTGGTTTTGACCAAATATCAGGTCAAACGGTTTGACTCGGTGAACTCTGTCATCTAACACAGTCTTCCATTTTAACAGAAGTCCACCAAATCACACCTGTAGGTAAAACTTGTAAGATGATGCTTTACCTGGTTGGCTTTGTTAACACCTTACGTTTTCACAAGACACTGAGTTCAAATACAAAGCATTAGTCAGTGCTAGCATGCTGAATATTAATGCCAGGTAGCTCCAACACACATCGTAACAAGTCATTTTGTAAATTTGTGGGTTTGGCTTGACCCAAATTTGACCCCAGCAGTTTTTAGTGTGGCAGAAGAACCTTTTTATGTTGGATTTCATAATATGCATTTGCAACTCCCACTTAAGACAAAAACAAACAGGAGTAAATCAATGTTCAATAAATTTCCAGTTACACCACTGAGGTATTTCTTTGACAGATTGAGATCAGTGAAATTCAGAAGGTCACTTTAGCTCATCTTAGTGTCACGGGTCAAATGATCTCCAGCTTCATGCAACCCTCCATATTTCTTTTATGATCTGCATCTGGTGTCCTGCAAACGCACAGCAAGCTATATGGTCTCAACCGGTTTCAATGCGCGAGGGTTGTCCACAAACACGCCATCAACCCACATGCTGATGGAAACCCTGCTCGGTTCGGCAGGAAACGAACCGCTCAGGCTGATTTGCTCAAACTTACCCGCCGTGACGCGAAAGACGCCGAGACAGCCGAGGACGAGCAGGAAAAATCTCTCCATGTCTCCAACGCTCGGACGACGCGCGGTCCCATTTACTCAAGCCGGCCGGGGGGAGAGCTGCATTCAGTTCATGCGTGTCGTCTGCGGCTGGAGGGGCGGAAAAAAAATGTGCGTGCGTGTGGGGAGGTTGTCTTCAGCACCACGGACAGCGCTTCCAGCTGCTCCTCCGCTCCATTCAGCAGCCTCGATTGTCTCCAGAGCAAGCGAGCATCATCATCATCATCATCATCATCATCATCATCTGTCTGCGCCGTTCACATGGGTCCGGATGCGCTCCGGAACCCGCCCCTACTCCGCACGGCACGGCACGCTTCGGCTGCTGCAGGCAGACTGAAACGTGCTACACATTTCAAAGACAAATAAATAATTAAAAGTACGAGTCTTTTTTTTTTCTTCCCCTCCATCTTCTATTCCATAAATTTAAAATCGGAACCAGAAGCCGTCAGTATAAACACGCCTCTCCGCCACCTCTGAAGCACATTAGCGCCTGGTGGGCACAGAAAGCCCCTGATGCTCCAGCTCCACTTGGTGAGGATTATCGCTGCCCACTCATTGATTTAATATGCAAACACACCTCCCCACGCAAACAGTCGCCTGTGCAAAGACAAACCCTCCCAGGGCCACTTTAAAACACTTTCCAACCACTTTTCACAAACAAACACGTGCTGCTTGACTTTAGTGCGCTGATCCCTTCCTCCTCCTCCTCCTCTCCAACATTTGTTTCTGCAGCGCAGCGGCGCAGAGGTGGATGGAGTGTGCACTGTACCTGACAGGGTCCTTGTAGCGCGCGCCAGGCTCTAAGCTCTCCAGGAAGGTTTGCGCGTGTCCCCTCAGTCCGGAGACAAGTTGCTGTCCCCTAGCTGCGTCCCCAAGAAATGTTTCCTTCTCCCCGCTGCGCGCCTCGGTTCATGGATGGCTACCTCTGACGTGCGTCAAGGGTGCACTGTTGGGTGTGTGTGTGTGTGTGTGTGTGTGGGGGGGGGGGGGGGTATTGTTCTGTTTCCTTTTGTGCATGTTGGCTCTCTCCTTATCTGTGCGTTTAAGAGGGAGAGGGACAGTAAGGACACACAACACGCACACTGTGCCAACAAAGGAATATTTTAAATTAAATTAATTAAAGTTATCATGCATTTTAAGGTTTTTGCACAACATGCAACATTTTAATTAAATGTTAAATATTTTAAACTAGCAAAATGAAATCAGAGCTTAAACTCTACCACGAATTATTTCTGTCTGATTAGTTTTTTTTGTGGAAATTGTGCTCTTGTAGTTCATTTCTACAGGCGTTGCCTTAGAATTTAGACTCAAAATGAACATGTTGCTCATGTGCTGGCTGCACAACATATATCACAATATGTTACAGCAATGGTTTTCTGACTTTCAAAAAAAAACCCAACACAGTTAATTTAGTAATTTCCAGTGAATTCTAACTGGTTTGCTCTGATATAAAAATATGAGACATGAGTCGAATTAGAGGAAGCAACAAAAAAACCTAACTGGCCTCCCAGGAGGTGCTTATGTGCACCTTTTTAGAGGACACTGCACATGAGTCATGTTTAAAGGTACAAACATGATTTATTTGTACGGATTAGATGGAAGTGGTGCACAGCAGAAGGAAATAAAAACTAAAGCAAGACATTTAGTTATTATTGGCATTTTTGATTTTCTACATTTCCCATGTGACTTGCATTTATATAATTCTGAGGTGCTCTAAGAAGTTTGGATAGAGCCAGAAATGTGTTCATTCTTATACAGTAAACATTCTGCAGTTCAATTTTTTTTGGATATGCTCCAATCCTGCATGTGGAAAATAAAACACACTCTGCAAAACTTTTAACAGTTCAATACAGACTGCGTTATGCCTAAAATAGATTGAATGACAAACAATAGATGAAAAACCATCAAGCCCACTGATATGATCTCCTGACTGAACGATAAAGAAAATGAGCTACAATGCGGAGGACCACACTCAGCTCAGATAAATGTAGAAGACTAAATGTTCAGGCCCACCAAGACTGAAATGTCAACAGTTTTATTTCACTTTCTGCTGGTTATCTAAGAGCTAAAAGTTCTGGGCCAACTGAATGTTAATGGTCTTTAAATTCAAACACATAAAGGACTCAGCCCGAGTAATTTGCTCCTGGAAATTGGCCTCTGATACTTTACATTCTTTGCCATTAAATGGACATCAAGCAGAAAATCAGCAATAAATCTGATGTCTTTATGGGCATTCAGGCTCTTTTTTTATTTCTGGGAGCTGCACCTCCGTTGCGAGTGGGCTTTGTTCATCTCACGGTGTGTGTCCTTGGTAAGGAAGGTGGAATTAGTTTGCTGCGCTAATAAACGAAGGAGCTGGAGGCCTTGAAGTGCAACATTAATGTAAAGTTGCTGGGTTTGCTCATGGCTCTTTAAAGTGGTTTATACGTTAACTCTCTCAGTATTGCTCAGAGTATGTGTTGTGAAAGAGTCTCCGGTACTATCACTCCAAAATGTAGGCCACTTATGTAGATTTGATTGAGTTGTATCCATTTTGTGTTTTGTAAGGTCAATGGCAAGTGGCAGGATTGCTACTAGGACACCTGAACAACAGTATTATTTGCCATCTTTAATGCTCATTTTGACTGGCCAGCAGGTAATTTTAATCCAGAGTCCCCACCACGCTCCATATATTCATTTTTTTTTGTTAATATAAAATACATAACTCCATGTATAGTGCAAGCTAGGCACATTAATCCCTGGTCGTTTGAGACAATTCATGAATTCTGCAAAGTGTTTAATTTGAACTTACTGAAGCATGCAGTCATAATCACGTTGACTCTTTTAACAGGAGCTCCATCTGACCAAGCATTATGGCCACATAGCGGATTATAGAAGAAAAATAGCACATGCTCAGAAACCGTTGTTAAATTCTGCAACCTGATTTAGGCTTCTTTTATTTTATTTTTTTAAACACAGAATAAACCAGCAAGCTGGACACCTCGCCATGAATATTTTACACACATCAATATTTCCTGACGTGACTTTGGAGCTTACGGTGCCTTTTCCGCCTCTCAGAATGATTTTGGATTATGAGCTCTGGCAGGTCGCTCAGAGGTGACGACCCAGACCAGGAGGAGGATTTTTTTTATTTTATTTTAAGAGATGGAAATGGAGTTGAAGCATAGATGGAGGAAGGACTGGATTCGTGGTTTTGTTCATGTCTCAGCTTGATAAAACTGGGCCTCCAGCTCAGAGGGAGGAGATTCAATAAATACCAAACTGTGGGAGGGGAGTGAGAAAAGAATTAAAATTTCTTATTATTATTTTAAGTTTTCTTCCACTCTTTAGTCTCAGTTTGAAAAGTTTGATTGGCACCCAGTGTTGATACATTAGGAGGCTTGAATCCATTAAATCTGCTGACATGTGGTGCAGCTGTAGCTGCAGATGATTGAATTCTTGTTCCTAATCCCATTACAGCACAACACATCCAGAGTTCATTTGCAGCTTTGGATGAAGACATGCTTCCATCAGAAAACGGGCCACATCTGAATTGGCAGCAGACTGACTTAAAGCTTCTTACTGGAAAACAACCAAGATGAAACTTTTAAACCAACCAAAACATAAAACTAAATCAAATTATCACAGAAAAGTAAACAAGTGTTTATTTTGTAGAAAAACAAGTATTCTCTTGATAAAATAAATGCTCAGGTCTTTATTGCTGTCAGATTGGGATGCGGCGGTGAAAGTAACAATGACGGACGACGTAGGTTTCTGTTTGTCAGATGGCTTTGTATTTCCTCATTTAGGCAACATGTTGTGTTTATTAAGGTACTATTTCACTGGACAGCAACTAGCTGGCAGTGTGCAAGAGGGAATCTCCAGTGTGCTGGAACGTCCATGTCTTGGGCCTTATTTGAGTTGCAGAGGCTCGTTTTCTTGTGGCTTGAACACTGAGCATGTTAAATAGGTGCAGAGCGATATTTTCTATTAAAAAAGTCAGAGTCATGGCAGTATCCCAAACCCTTCTGGATTTTGTCTCAAGAGCTCAATAATTGTGTTTTAACACCTCCGTGAATTTCTCTTCTGACACAAAAGACGTCTAGGTTAATATACAGTATATATATACTATAGAATAATGATCACTATTAATAAAAACTAGATTAAGTCATGGAAGAACAGGGGGCTGCTAAGGTGGGCACAAATGTGGTCAAACATTATGTGTACAGCCGAGAATGCAGTTTTACAAGTAGTTCAAAAGATCAAAGTTCAAAAAATTATGCATGACTATTTAAAAAATGAGGGCTCAAAACATTGTTGTGTGGCTTGCTGATCACTTGGTCACAAGCCACTCAGATATATGCATGACTGCAGTAAAACTTTATTTGTCTGCAACAATCAGTCAAATTTGAGTGGCTAACTAGTCTCCAATAGCCTAGTGAGACACCAGCTAAACATTTAGCTGTCATATCCTCTTATATATTCTTGTTATTCCTAATTTTAGAAAATCAAGTTATATCCAAGCACTGTTATTTCAGCAAAATGACTATAGAATGTATGTAATATATATACATTTAAATTGTATATGAATATATTTTGAGTAGTACTGTGGATCAGAGTCATTTGTTTTCAGATGCTTCTTCTGACTTGGACCCAACTCAACATGTCCTCATATCCACCTTATATGCAGAGTAACAAGGTGAATCATCTGGTTTACTATTTCTATGAAGGCGTGTTTGTCTGCTGCCGCATTTGTGTATAATAAACATTAAAATAGATGCAGGGACCCAACGAAAACACTCCTAAAAGCATCCCACTTTCACATGATCATCTCTTGCTCCCAGAGGTCCACATGATATCAAAGAAAACCATGCCGACTTCTTTCATCTTCCTTTACTTGAGTTCAATTTGAAGCACTTTTCGCAGTGATCAGTGCTCGCTATCGACTAGTGTGGAGACATGTGGCCTCATTCGTTAGTTCTGCCTTCCTTTCTATCTCTGCCAGAAAGGTTTTCATCATTCTGCTG